CGCCCCATGCCTCAAGTCACTCCAAGCAGCAGCAGCACCCTCCACAGCTGCGGAATGGCTAGCGCCGCGATCGCGCAGGCCCACGCTGCGCATACCCTGCGGTCAAACTGGTAGACCTCCACGAGATGCAGCCGCCCCTCGCCGCCGGAGGCGGAGCGGTAATGGTGCATGGCTACCCACAGGCCGATGAGGCGGAAACGGAATTCGAAACGGCGGGCCAGCGTGACGCGGGACGCGCCGGTCCGAGCGCGGAGGCACTCGACCACATTCCGATGCACCGCGAGCGGCGTTGGAAGAAGCGGCTTCTCGTCGTCCTCTCCCGCCGCGTCGAGCGTCCTGGTCTGGCGGAGGAGCGTGCACAGCCCGGTGAGGCTCCACAGCACCAGCGCGTAGTACTTGAGGAGCGTCAGGGTCCGCACCTCAAAGGGAAGGCTGACGTTCTGCGCGGCGTCCTCGGCCTGAAAGGCTGCGGGGTCGTATGTTGATGGCATGAAGAGAATCACGCCGTCGAAGCTTTTGACGCAGCGCCGCGCCGCCGCCGGGCCAACGAGCATGCCGTGGAAGCGCCAGTAGTCGAGCATCTGCTGCGAGGACTCCGACGCTGCGGCGAGCGGGATGAGACGCACCAGCATGTGCACACAGTCGGCCTTGCTATGTTTGGTCGTTTGCCGCGCACGCGCTTGCCGACTCGGCGTGCCGCCTTTGATTTCTCACCCCTGCGGGTTCATTTCTTTCTTGTTGGTTGTCTTCATTTGAGACTCGCCTTGCAGATCACCCGGCGTTTTCCAGATCACCCGGCGTGAGCGGTTTCAGATCACCAGGTGCGGCAAAATGTCGTTTCCAGATTAGATACCCACCCAACACGGCGAAATGTCGTTTCCAGGTTACCCGGGAGCGGATTAGGCTGTACGAGGTTTTCCTCTCGCACCCCGTCTGTTTTCCTTTCACCGCCTGGGTATTTTGTCGATTCCTCAATTTTGCCTCAGATTTTGCCCCAGACCAGCTCTCAGACTCAGGGAAACTCGCGAGTTTCCGGAATGGAGCACCAAACACCCTCTGTTTTCCCTGGAAATTTCCGGCAACGCAAAGTGCTGGGGACCCTCTGTTTTCCTTTTTGTTTTCCGGAAAACCTCGTACAGGCCAAGGAGCGGAATTTCTTTTTCCAGATCACCCGGTAGTGGGATGCGCCGGGTAATCTGAAAGAGTTGTACGGATTCACGACTGCGTCATTCAAGCAAACGAGGCCGGGGATTCCGAGTGGGAGCTCTCCTTAGGACACGTGCCGCAGGTGCTCGCTCTCTGTCTGGACGATGTTCACGCTGAGTCCGGCCTTTGCGCCTGGCTAGGCAGCCGTCCGTGTCCGGGTAAGCTGAAACGAGAAATTTTGCCCGAGCGGGTAATCTGAAAGAGAAAATCGGGTCACTCCTCATCGCAAACCCTGTCAGCAGTCCTCCTCCGGGAATGTACGTAAGAGCCACATACATTGAAAAGTATGTTAGCCGCCGGGTGATCTGGACGAGAAATTTGGCCGACCGGGTAATCTGCCCTGAGAAATTTTAGCGACCGGGTAAGCTGAAACGCGAATTGTGGGAGACTGGGTAAACTGTAACTGATTTGTCAGTTTTTTGATGAAATTACTGCTGAGCAGGAAAATCGTTGCCGGATAATCTGGACGAGAAACTTGGTCGACCGGGTAATCTGCCCTGAGAAATTTTAGCGACCGGGTAAGCTGAAACATGAATTGTGGGAGACTGGGTAAACTGGTTTTGTTGTTAAACTGGTTTCACGGAAATCAAACAAACTGGTATTGCTAAAAATCTCTCTCGGAAATCGCGCTAAGCAGGAAAATATCGTTGGCCGGGTAATCTGCGAGGCGAATCTCAAAAACCGGGTAATCTGAAATTTATTCTTCATAAAATGGGAGGGTCGGCCCACGGGGGGACTTGGTGAACTGAAGCGGCCCCACGATTTTAGAGAGAGAGTTTGTCGATTTTATGAGTGGGGGAGTGATTTCTTTTGGGGGCAACTCTCGGTCACAAAAAGAATTTTCATATCCGTCCTCACCCCAGCAAATTGTATTTTGTTCTGGCAGGCTCCAGGGTTCCAACTAATGTTGCTACCATACCCCGCAAAAAGTCCACCCCTCTCCTCGGCGTTCACCGGCGCAGTCTCATCAACAGCCTCAATCCAACCAAGTCATGGGCTTCGCGAGCATCTACACCAAGGCGACGTCCGTCATCTTCGGCATCTACGCCCTGCAGATGATATTGATTCCAGCAAACATGGTGAGTCTCCTCGATCGGCCCTCCCGCACCGCCACAGACTCCTCGATCGGCCCTCCCTCACCACAGACTCCTCGACCGGCCCTCCCGCACCACAGACTCCTCGCTCGGCCCTCCCTCACGCCGCACCACCCACAGAGGCGTTACGCACACACATCTGAACGATGACCAGAACCGCGCGGCAGAGCCGGCCGACTCCCGCTCCAGGTGACCGACCACTGGGATATGCCGTCGACGCCCGGGATGGAGTTCTGGATCCGCGGCCACGGCGTGTCTCTGCTGGTGCTGTGCTACCTGTCGATGCACGTGCCTACCGCGGTCGCGGCCAAGGCGGCCTTTGTCCTCTCTCTCGGCATCGCCATCGTGTACCCGTTCAACGCCAAGTTCGGCTACCTCACGCCGGGGCTGCCCCTCAAGTACCCCATGCACTACGTGCCCGAGGGCCTCATGCTAGGCCTCACCGGCGCCGGCCTCGCCGCCGTCATGGAGTCGCCGGGCGGAGTGAAGACGGCCTGAAAAAGAGGCCGGGATTCAACGCCGATCGAGAGGACTTGCAGCAGAAAGAACGGCCGTCCGGTGTGGCCCACCTTGGCTCTTTAGACTTAGCACGGGCGTGTTCTTCTACGGGCGTGTTCTTCCAATCCCGCTAGGGTGGGCGTGCTTTCACAGCCTTTCGACACAGCCTGGACACAGCCTTGCCCTTGGAGTGGAGTGCAGTCAGTAACCCCAGGGCCGGGGAGCTAAGTCCTAAGATGACCTAAGAAGCACACGCACCCAGAGGACGATTGGCATCGGGCTACGGGCAAGAGAGCCCTGACCCCTGGGGAGGGTGCGCGGTCGCAGGGCCAAGGGCTGCTAAATTCTTTTGGAAATTGTTCGTAAAAACTCTGTTTTGCAGCGCGGGGGTAGAGGACAACCCGGCCGACCAGGCCGAACAACAACCAGAACAATAACAACCTCAGCTCTACTCGGCTGACGGCAGTATCGCGTACATGACGACCTGGAATCTCATCCGGTCCGATCAGCTCTGCACGGCCGGAGAAACACGGCTTGGCTACTGCTGGACCGAGGGAGCGGATTGCTGCGGCCGGCTGTGCCGCGAGAAGGCAAGCTGCTCGTACTTCTTGTGGGACAGCACAACGTTCGAGTGCTGGCAGTCGCACGCCGGTAGCAGAGACTGCGACAGCGGCTGGATCGAGGCGCGTGGCGTCTCGTTCTATGCGCTTGAGGGCGACCGCACGCCGTTCACGTGGAGCCTGGTGCACAAGCATGCCGAGTGCGCCTCGCCCGAAATGGCGCTGGGCGACGGCCTCGCCTCGACCGTGGGCGAGTGCGCCTTCCGCTGCGACGCCCTGCCCGGCTGCGACTTCTTTCTTTACGACGAGCGAGGTGCACGCTGCCCCTCCCATTGCCGCGCCTCCACCACGCACCACACACCCATCCACCACACACCCATCACAGGTGGCGGCTGCTTTGAGGAGTACACCTCTTCGGCGGACTGCCCCGAGGGTCTGCAGACGTGGCGGCGGTGCGACCGGGAGATGCAGCGGCGAAACACCCGTCGGCCACGACCAGACACCGGATTTCCAGCGGCAGAGAGACGGTCGCACTGAGCGAGACACAGACAACGACGACACAAGTGGGCGCTGCCACAGGTACGACTTTTACGCGCTGTTGCGAGGCTCCGCCGCGCCCATCCCCCTGGCCGAGCGCTGGTCCTGCGTCGGTCCGGCGCCCTTCCCTGGCGAGGCGGCGTCCTCCGCCCCGCGCCGCACCTCGACCTGCTTCGAGTACCACGCGGCTCCGAAGCGGTCGTGGGTCGGGTCGGAGGCCGCCTGCCTCTCCCGCGGGATGCACCTCGCCTCCCTAATTAACTACTAATTGACTACTAATTGACTGCTAATTAGGCCGCCTGCCTCTCCCGCGGGATGCACCTCGCCTCCGTCCACTCCGCCGCCGAGAACGAGGTCGCGCTCTCGCTCTGTGCAGAGGAATGCTGGATCGGCTTCACCGACCGGCAGAGCGAGGGCGAGTGGCGCTGGACCGACGGGTCCAGGGACGGAGGGCCGCACCCGTGGAGCCCGGGAGAGCCAAATGGGCAGCTGCACGAGACCACCGATGGCGCGTACATCTACCCGCTCCGTGCGGGGCTCGACTCGCCAGGCTCCCGGGATGACGTTGATCTCGGGCCGTCCCGGCCCATCCCGGCCCATCCCGGCCCATCTCGGGTGGTCTTGACTCGCCAGGCTCGTGGGACGACGACTTTGTCAACGTGTCGACGGCAGGCATGGCGGCCGAGATTAGCCGAGATCAGCTGAGATCAGCCGGGACTAGCCGAGACGAGCCGAGATCAGCCGAGATCAGCCGAGATCAGCCGAGATCCCCAACGTGTCGAGTCGACGGCAGGTCCAGCGGCCGGCCACGTCGTCGAGCGCGCCTTCCTCTGCCGGCACGACTTCCGCGCCGCGCCGCTCCGCCGCACCTCTACACTACTGCCCCTCTCCACGGCTAACACTGCTACGCTGCTCCCACTGCTGCACTACACGGCTCACACTGCCCCTCTCACTGCCCCTCTCCCCTGCCTCACGGCCGCCGCGCATCTACAGGCGCGACTTCCGCGCCGCGCCGCGCCCTCCGCCGCGGCCACCTCGCTTGGCCCAGGGCCCCTCCCCCCTCACAGCTTTCTATTGAGTGGCAGCTCTCTTGTCTTAGGCCGCTGCGGCCTGGCCCTGGGGCCGCCGCTTCCTTTGCGCTGCTCGTCTCTGGCGGCGTGCTCGCCCTCGCGCTACGGAGGCGCCTCATCTCGGCTGAACCTCGGCTGAACCTCGGCCAAGCTCGGCCGCTCTCGGATCCTCTCGGTTCCTCTCGGCTGATCAGCTGCTCTCGGCCGCTCTCGGCTGATCTCGGCTGATCTCGTCTAATCTCGCCCTCGCGCCGCGGAGGTGCCTCCCGTCCGCAGACGGCGTCCCGCTGCTCTCGCTGCGCCACGCGGCGCGAAAGGTCTCCGCGCGCAGCCTCGCCTCGGGAGACATCGCCCTCTCGTCCGAGAGCTTCGGCCGAGGCTCGGGGTTTGGCCCTTCGCGGGGCGTCGCGCCCGCCGACGAGAACGGCGACGCATCTTCTCTACTGTAGCGCCGCCACTAGCGTAAGGTGTGGGCATGTGTACACTCCTGCTGCGGAGCCCACACTCACTGTACAGTCACTGAGTGCGTCTGATCCACGGTGGGTGGATAGCAGCTGCGTCCGTTCTCGCCTTCCCCCGTCAGCGCACAGCGGCGCGGGCGGGCGGGCGGGCGCGCGGGGCGGCGGCTGCGGCGGCCTGGCGGGTCCGCGGCGGCGCGGTGCGGCGTGCCGTCGTCTCGACTCCCGCCATTCGCTCTCTCTTCGAGTTGTGTTTCTTTTTATTGCCTCTACAACTCCACGCAGAGCTCCGTCACGAGGCACCAAAGGCTCGCTACACGAACTCGAGGCAAAGCGGAACAACCTCAGACGAAGAGTGGACGACCCCCAGAACACAGTGAGACGCATCACAAGCTCATACTCGTCCTCGCAGATGCGCACAACCTCTCCTCTCCTCGCAATGGGCCTCGCTGAAGCCGCTGTCCAGCCGACAGGCCAGCCGTCTACGCTGCGGGCGCGGGCATCTCCACTTCCACCTCCAGGTCATCGCCACTGCTGCCATTCTCCCAGTCGTCGTCGTCCGCGGGCTTGGCGGCGACGGAGAGCCGCCGCTTTGCAAAGTCCGAGGCGTCGCCTCCGCCTCCGCCGCCAGCGCCGGCGGTGGAGAGCCGCCCCTCGGCGATCTGCTCGAGGCCTGTCTCGCCCAGGTTGATATAGACACCGCCGTCGAGGTCGATGTGGCCGCTCAGACGGCCGCTGACTGAGCCAGACACGCCCACCTGGTCGCGGAAGGTGAGAGGTACGATGAGCTTCTGCGCACGCTCGCGTGGGGCATCTGGGACGATGGGAAGGAGCCCCCCCTCCAAAGTGCAGGGCCCGGCGATCCCCGCGGCATGCAAGGTGCAAGGCCCGGTGCGCGCGCGCGTGAGCAGACCTGGTCGAGCGTCTTTGGCGGTTCGTCCGCGTCGGGCTGGATGAAGGGGAGACGGACCTGCGTTGTGAGCGCGCGGGCTATGAATGCAGCGAGTGGGGCGAATGCAGGGGCTTAGCTGATTGCTGCTGAATACGGCTGCGTCCTGCCGGGTGTGTCCTTCTCGAGTGCTAGTCGGAATACAGAGGGGCCCGTGTTCCGCATCTACGGGAGGCGGACGACGATCGCGGTGATGTCATCGCGGTAGTTGCCCTCTGCCTTCTTCCAGCGCTGCGCCGCAGCCTGCACCAGGCTCGCGCACGCCTTGCTCGCCGACGCCGACTCCTTCGCGACGATCTGGCACGCCTCCTTGGAGCTGATGAACTGCGGGGGCAAAAGGCAACGAGGCGGGCAACGAGGTGGGCGGTGAGGCGGCACGAGGCACGCACCGGGCGGGTGGTGGTGAGGCGTTGGTGGCAGTCGAGGTGGCGAGAGGGCGGCAGAGGACTAGCAAGGCTCTCGTCTAGCGAGCGGGTGTGGCGGCGGTGCGGCCCGTGTGGAAGCTTCTCGGAAGTGGCGCCTCCCACACGCCGTCCGACGCGCAGATGATGAAGCGGTCGCCGCGGTCGACGTCGATGTCGAACTTGCGGATCTGCGGGTCGGCGATGACGCCGTACTTCTTGCACTCCCCGTCCCCGATCGAGCGCGACATGGCCAGACCCACCCGCCCATCGCACCAGACGCGCGACGGACCGTTGCCGCGGCCGACCGAGACCTCGCCGCCCGCGGCGAGGATGCGCTCCTTCTCGCCTGGCGCGTCGGGCTTCATGTCGACGGACAGGTCGCGCGCCTTGACGCTGCCGCGCTCGACGTAGCCCATCACGGCGCGCGAGTCGCCCGAGCACGCCACCCAGCAGGTGGAGCCCTGCACGTACACGATCGTCGACGTCGTGCCGCACATGTTGGCGAAGGATCCGCCGTCCTTCTTGAGCACCTTCTTGTCGACCTCGATCACGGTCTGGTGCAGCACCGCCGGCGGGTCCGCGCGAAGCTCCGCCCCAACCTCTTGCAGCGCCGCCGGAATGGCCTTCACGCAGAACTCGCTCACCTTCTCGCCATTGCGCCCGTGTCCGTCAAAGACGCAGAAAAGGGCCTCGTTGTGCGAGCCGTTGTAGGGCCAGTGAGCGACGCCCCGGTCCTGGTTGATCTTGGCGTACGCCGCGCCGCCAGATCCCGGGCTCACGCCGTGGCGGGTCGCGTTGCCAAGCGACTCGGCCAGCGGACCCGACGCCTCGTCGTTGCCCCTGCGAGGAGAGAAGAGCTCGTTGGGCTCGTGCGCGATGGACTTGCGTCCTTCGGGAACCTGCGGGGTCGAGCCGGAGCCCTCCTTGGGCTTGCTGTCCGAAGCTCCCATCGATCAAGTCGGGCCTCAAGCCCGACACCCAAGGATGTGGGACGGACGTCACAAAAAAAGTCCGGCAGCTCACAATCCTTCGACTTCAAGGATTGAGAGCGAGGCTGCTCACAATCCTAGCTAGCCGTCTATCTACAAAAGAAAGGATGCCAGCGACGCGTGCTCGAGGCGGAGCGTCGTCCTTTCAGAGAGAGAGAGAGATTTTTCAATACCAAACAACTTTGAACAACTCTAACACTCACACGTCATTAGGGGCCTTCACGCGCGCGCGAGACGTGCAGACAGGGTTGCCAGGTGAGAGCGAATGGCGCGGTTCACGCCTCGCACAACAGAGGAGAGAGATGCGCTCTGCATGCAGCATGGTGGGACATAAAGAGAGCGAGTACTTGGGCGAGTAGGCCGTGCGGTCAACGCTGCCGCGCGCAGGAGGACTCTGCTGACAGGGTTTGAAGAAGTTGGTTTTCTAAAATCTCTCTTAGAATCATTTTGATCATTTTGATGCGTAGTGGTCCGACTATTATTAAATGTGCGTCGCTTGCCTGGGCGAGAGTGCTTGCGTTTTGTGCTCGCAAATACGTTACCCATTGGACGAGCAGAGAGAGAGAGAGACGAGCACAGTAAAGTGAAAACTGACTCACGCGCGGCGCGCGGCTGCTCTCCAATTTTGCCGTGGGCGGGAGACGAGTGACACTGCTGCAGGAAGATAGACGCACCTATTCATCATGAATATCCCTCTGACTGCCGACAGCCGCACGACAAAGGACAAGTTCTTTAGCTACGTGGAGGCGAAAGGCCTAGGCGCATCATTGCTCATCGGGTGCAAGTTCAACAGCAATGCTGGGAAGGCAGAAGCCCTTGAGCGCATTCGAAAGGCACTGACCGCGGAGGCGGCGGCAAAGAAGGCGGCGCCGCCGCCTTTGCCGCGGCCTCGGCCGCCGCCTCGGCGGCCGAGGAGGCCGCAGCCGCCTCCTTTGCCGCCGCCTCCTCGGCCGCCTGAGGACGACGAGGAACACGATGGTCCAGACGAAGCAGGTCCATTCGACTTCGCCGGCTTTAGGAATACCTTGCCCACAATGCGCAAGGACTCTAATGAGGACACTGGCGACGAAATGATGACGCCTATGAACCCGTTAATCGGGAACTTTGATCCGAACGTTCTCCCGGGATCGGCGCTGTTGTGCATCGCACACAGCTCCCTGAAAGCCCAATCGATGTTCTCTCTGCCGAGCACACTGCTCACATACACCAAGCCCGGCCACAACTTGTCGGTGCGCGACGCGGAGTCAGCGTTGAAGAGGATGGCCAAGGAACGGCGGATCGTCAAGAACGTCGGACAATTCCACGTGCGGCCAAACAGCGACGTCACTCCGAACTATGTGCTGGTGGGCGACAGCCGCATTCCGTGCGTCGGGCTGTACAAAATTACGCCAGGGCGCGGTGTCAAGATGCTAGAACGGTGGCACTCTGACGACAAGTACGATGTCAAGAAGATGTACCAGCTGGCATCAAAGCACGAATGCAACAGCGTCGTGGTCTTGGCATGCAAGTCCTGACTTCTCCCACCCGCCTCGAGGGCGGCGGCGGGTGACGGTGTGTGGTGGAGCTGGAAACGAGGCCCATGATTCGCAGATACCGATAGAGGTCTCTGGTCAGGGTGGTCTGACGCCGCTTCTGCGGGCTCCCCCCCCAGTGCTCAAACTTTACCGGTATGGGAGTTTTTGGCTAATCAAACCCAAGGCCTGCACTAATCAAAAAGTGGTACGGGATACCAGTTGCCTCACGGAAATCAAAGCGAGTCGGAGTGCCTTCTTGGTGGCAAAATCGGCAAAATCGGCAAAATGCCGGGTATTTTGCGGGTATACCTGGAAAAACCCGGGTATACCCGGGTAATACCCGCACTTTTGCATGGTTTCGCCCCCGGGACCACACCGACAGCCGCTACAACTACTGAAAACCCCGCATACCACTTTCGCATACCACTATACCATACCACTCCAAAACTAATCAAAATATCGCCAAATACCAGTCTCATACCGGTAAAGTTTGAGCACTGTAACCCCCCCTGTTGTGCCGAAAATTGCGTCTCACTTTAATAACGAAGGTGTAGACCAACATAGCGCGCGTGCGCGGCACTGCCAGCATTGCTAAGGCTAGATACGGGGATTCACTGCGGGGGGGGGCCCTCCCTCTGCCCCCCTATGGCCCTATAATCCAACGCCGCCCCGCTCTCCACAGATCGCCCACAGAAGACCGCTCAGCGGCCCAGCGGCCGCGGCCACTCCCTCCTCCCCGCCCGCCGCCTCGCCCGCCTCCCTTGCGGCCGCCGCCCGCGCCCTTTGTTCCGAGCGGGATGCCGCCGTCCCCTCGCTGCCGCCGCGCGTTGCCTCCTCCCTCCCGACGCTGCCGTCGCTCGCGTCGGACCCCATGCTGCACGGCCCCAATCGTTTAGTTCCTTTTTTATTCTTTTTCACGAGCTCCCAGTGTCTTGAACCATACTAAAATTCTTTGCGGGTAAAATTCTTTTTTGTGTAAAATATGGCCGCTGCGTCCGAACGGCACGGCTTCCGCCTCCGCTCCGTCGCCTCTCGCACCGCCGAGGACGAGCGCGGCGCCGCCTTCACCGTCTACGCCCTCGCGCTCGAGGAGCGCATCTCCGACGCCGACGACACCGCCGCCGGCACCAGTGCGACGGCGTGGCGGAGGGTCGGCGGTGGGTGGGAGCGGCTGACCGAGGGCGGCAAGCTGCGCGAGTGGGTGGTGGAGCGGCGGTTCTCCGAGTTCAAGAGGCTCGATGCGCAGCTGCGCGAGCTCGCGGCCAAGCAGAGGCTGCCGCCGCCGCCGGGGCTGCCCTCCAGTCTCGAGCCTCCGGCCGAGCGCTTGACGTCGTGGCTGCCGGGCTCGCTGGGTGGCGGCGCCCTGCGGCCGGAGCTAGTGCAGGCGCGCGTCGCCGGGCTCGACGCGTACCTGCGCGCGCTGCTGCTCGCCGTCCCGCCCTCCGACCCGCTCCTCTCCGACTTTCTTCGCCCGACGGGCGGCGGCGAGGCGACGACGCCAGTCGGCCCGTACCGCGGGCACGACCCGGCCGCGCGCGCGCGCGCCGAGGAGGTGTCGCGGCGGCTCTTCGCGCCGCTGCCTCCGCTCGAGTGGGCCCTCGTCTACGGCAGCAGCGAGGAGGAGGACGACGAGGAGGAGGAGGAGGGCGAGGGCGAGGGCGAGGGCGAGGGCGGGGGAGAGGGCGGAGGGGAGAGGGCGGCGGAGCCGGCGGAGGAGGAGGCAGCGCCGTCCGGCCTAACTGCCGATGCGATCGGCGGCGCGGCGCGCGACGCGCGAGAGGGCGGCAGCGGCAGCGAGGGCGGCAGCTTTGTCTCTGCAGGTGGGTCCCCTGTCCCCTGTCCCCCGTCTCCCTCTCACCTCTCACCTCTCACTCTCACCTCTCACTCTCACCTCTCCTTCCTCGCGCGCTGCTGCTCGCGCCTCTCCCCCGACCCGTCTCCGACCCGCCTCGGAACCTTCTCGGAACCTTCTCGGAACTTTCCTGCAGGCGAGTACTCGGACGGAGGCAGCGAGCCCTAGATGCAGACGAAGATCCGTCTACTCCATATCTCCCCGTATCTCCCCAGATATCGAGGCCCCAGATGCGGACGGCGGATGCGGCTACTCCCCAAGTATCTAAGGAGCGGCCGAGTCGGACCGGGCTCGACCGGGGCTCGGCTGCACCCTCTGTACTCGCAGCCCCCGTACTCCCGCGGCGCTCTCTGAATCCGCTGCACGACGCCGCACTCCCGCGCCCTCGCTTCCCCCCACCTCACCGCCCTGCGCTTGCGCACGCAGGCCGAGAGTCCTCTGACGGCGGCGCGGACGGCACCGGCGGCTCGGCGGCTGGCGCGGGCGAGGGCGGCGGCGCGGGCGGGGAGGAGGAGGCTCCCTCGTGGCGCGGCCTCCTGCTCGGCGAGCGAGTCTGGTGCCAGGGCGGAGGCTCGAGCGGAGAGGGCGGCGGCGCTGGCGGCGCGTGGGTGCCGGCGCGGGTGCTCGCGCGGCGGGTGCTGAGGGGGGAGGAGGAGGTGCGGGTACGGAGGCTCGACGAGGCGGGAGGGGAGGAGTGGCTCTCTGTGGCAAGCGCCCGGCTGCGCAGCGCCGCGGAGCACACCGCGCTCGCGCGCTCCGACCCGGGCGGGTGAGGTAGGAGGGCGCAAGCCATGATGTTCGAAGCCGCGCGCTTACCAAAAGGCACAGGCACATGCATGCTGTATTGGTCCAAACCCATTTCCATTAGGATTAGCGGTGTGAGCCTGTCACGACAAGACGCGAGCGCTCTTGTAGAGTCTAGTCACCTCTCTCCCGCCCGCGGGAGATATATCTTGTGATATCCGCGCGGCCGGCCGCGAACGCCGGGAACGCGAGAACGTAAATCGTCTCCGGACTCCGCGCGGAAACCGGAATCCGGAAAGGGACCGAAAACACGACAGTCGACATTATGTGAAAATTATGGGTTAAGACAATGAGGAAAATTAAATATTCTTGCCTCCGACGCTAGAGACAGTCACCACACGGATACATACGTCCGTGGGAGTGCCCCCCTCCCCCACCTGCCCTGCTTACACAGGATAGCATGCCCCGAGAACGGCGACATTTGGCGGGGGGAACCAGGGAAGGAGGTTCGGTTTAGTCTTTCTTTTGTCCTCTCGGGGGAATGTTTCTCTCGGCGCCCATGGCCTTCTGAGGTTTCGTACTGATGACGTCCTTCTTGGCACTTCGGGCGTCGCCGTCGGTGTGTGCGTATCTGTTGTGTCTAATTCCCCCGGTAATGTGCTACGGGTATGGGTCGCCGGTTGAACGCTACCGCTAGACCATCATCTACTCAGCTTACTTCGGCCGTTGACCCCTCGATGGTCGAGTGGCTTCCGGATCGAGAATCGGCAGGTTGACCATTATAATTTTTTCTACATCGAGCGGGCTCAATTTTGCTCTGATGCCTCCTACGGTTTTCGATCTCGGGCAGGCGCCCGGTGCGTCGGTCGTTTTTCGTCACGGGAGGTT